TTCTACACTATTATTGACTTAAATGTAAACAGTTTCTAAAAGTATTACTATTTGTAAGCAGAATAAAAATCCTAATTTATGAAGCAGAACCCAAAATAAGGATACAAATAAAGTAGGTATTAATGGTTCCATTTCTGCATAAATTATAAGCAAAGAAGTATTAGCAAAGTTATAAGCAAAGAAGTATTAGCTGCTAAAATGTTTCATTTCAAGTTTCATAGTAGCTCTCTAAACAACCACAGACTGAACTCAAGAATCACTGGTATTTGGTTCAAAGCAGTGTCATCAAAAAAGACATTCTGGATATTCAGCAGCAATTGAAGGATGATATACAATTCAGATTTTCCTAGAATCACAGAAAAATGCAAAATGTGGAAAAGATATGGAGGAAAAGCAACAATGCCCTAATATAGCTTATTATCCTGACAATGGGAAAAAAGAACTGCATATGGGAGCCTTCTTTATGAATAATCGAAAAGAAGAACACTTTGCAAACAGCAGAGGGAGCACTCAATATGCTTAGTCTGATCACTGTTTCTATGGTGTTTAGTATTGCTCAAAGGGAAAAAAAAGTGAACCATTTATTAAAAGTACAGAATAAGTAGACTCTAATCCTCTTAAGTTTTTCTCTTTAAAAAAATCAATGTTTCCAAGTATGTTTTGAGGTCAGTTAATCCTTTAATTTTTATTACCTACCTAAATAACTCTGTAAACCTGAAATTTCCCTCAAGCATATGAATATCTTTCCCTTATTTTTTAATAGTTTTATTTTGGCTATAATTCTGCTGGTAACACTGAGCAGGAATATTACCAAGAATGGTGAAAGGAAAGTTCAATTACCATGTTTTAAAAGCCTGCATTTCAACAGAAAATTTTTCCAAAACAAAAACTATTGAAATAACTGGAAAAAATGGCATCAGATGATTCAGGAAAAACAATTTTGTAATCATTACCTTATCATGATTATTATCTATTAAATTTACAATATATACTGCCCAACTTTTTATGCTGTGGCACATAAAAATATTTTATATCAAAATATAAAATTAAGTCTCTTAGCTGAGTTTGACATTTCAACTACTGATGATTTAACAGATGTATCCATGTAAATTTATTTGCAACAGTATTTAACTAATTTGGCTTTGCCTTCTCCTGGAATGCTTTTTTAATTTCCCAGCCTGTACCCCTGATATTCTCTGGAGAAATCTTTTTTTCCTCTTCTATTTAATCATGTCCGATTTTCCCAGACTGCCTGGAGAAGTCATTGCAGTTTTCTTGGCAAGGCTTTTCAGAAGTAGAAAAAAAAAATGAAGAGTTGTCCTATCCAAGTGCTAAACTGGATCAGCTTTCAAGCTTAGACAAGGCCAACCAGGTGCTGTCGTCTGCTGAGATTATGATGTTGGTAAAAAGCAAATAAATCAGTGCCAATAGAAGTGTAATGTATAGAACATCATGTCTAGGGACTGAAACTGATAACATAAAAAATACAGTCACTGGTATTAAGATTGTCCTAGAAAATCAGGAAGGAAATGATACATATTAAAGGATAGAACCACCTGATATTCCTCATGAAGATCATATTGAATAAAATGGGCAATGGAAGTATATAATCTATTTATAAATAGTTCTGATATTATAACAATCAGCTAAGACTGCTGTTAAGAATAGCTTGAGACCATTAGTGACCGAAGATTTGATAGCCATATTTCAAATAAGATTTATCTATTTAATTTTTTATGGCTATCCATCTCAACCATGTCATTCTGTGAGGTGTACATTTCTTAAAACAATAAAACATTTTAAAATAACGCAAACAATGCAAAAATAGGTAGATACAGCAGCCAAGGCAATTATCCAAATTAACAGTAAAGCCAAGAAATGGGGCCCCTAACACATTCAGAATCCTGACTAAGTTCTTATAAAACAATAGATTCTAAACTTTTAGAAGATAAAATATAACAAAAATAATAAACATGATAGAAAGAGATGAAGAGAGAAACAAAGAAACAGGAAGCAGAAGGTCTGGAACTTTTGATGGAAAAACAAAGTAACAATCCTTTCAGGAGTATGCCTACAGTAAGTAAAATATCTTCATTTCTTGGATTCAGATAATAAATTAAAGGAACCAGAAGTCTTTATTGTGTTTTTTCAACCAGAGTTATACGCTGATGAATGGTATGAATTTTATGCTAGATGGAAGAAAAAGAAGGCTGGGAGGCAAACAATGCAGCAGAATCATCTTAGAAAATGATAAACTATTACTGAATCCAGTATTGGGCAAAGAAAGAGCATGTTTGTTGAAGCCTGATTGACCTGTGGTTTTCACCAATCCCTCCCTCCTACTGAAGCCCTGTACGTCATATCTGCGCTGCTGTTGGCATAATACAAATTGAAAAAAACAGGGGAACAAGATTCAGGATCTAGAGTCTGAGTAATAGTTGACAAGGTTCACCAGCTGATACAATCTAAATACCATGTTTCTCACAAAATAAGGCCGGGCCTTATTTTGTTTTGACCCCCGAAAAAATGGGCGTTGGTAGAAGTTACCGTGAACGCCCTTTCTATCTATGCTGTGAGAGAGCCCAGGATGGGTTGACTCCTTCCTATGACATCTTTTAGCTGAGTCTATACTAAGATATAAAAGCCAGCCCCCGGGAGAGACCCCAGCTTTGGCGAAGATACTTGACAGACTGAAAGGTGTCTCTGAAAGCACAAAATAAATACAGAAATATGTCTTACCCTCTCCGGAGGAATCAAGGGAGGGGCTGGGCTCTCTCGCAGCATAGATAGAAAGGGCACCAATGCCCATTCTCCTCCATGCTGCATGAAGAGCCCAGGATGGGACATACTAAAGCTTGCATGTCCACGGGTGGGTCCTCATCCGGCTCATCACACCGACTGTGGAACCATTCGTTGAACCACCCGTGGATCATGTGACCATGCAGATACTGCAACGGTCATAAGTGTGGAAAATAGTCGTAAGCAACTTATTTTAGTGCCATTGTAAGTTCAAACAATCATTAAATAAATGGTTCTAAATCAAGGACTACCTGTGGTCATCAGCTTAGATGATTTTAAACAAAGGTTAAAACACTTGATAAGACATTAAATGCCAAAAGCTATTAGTAGAAAAATGTATGAATGGAGCCTCATGTCGAAGGACCTGGAATTATCAGAAATGTGTTTTAATCTTCAAGGAATGGCTATTATCTTCATAGTCTTTTTGCAAGCTTTTAAGCACTGTTTGATTGGCCACACTATATTATGTCAAATATAATCTTTATTAAAGTAGTCAGATTACAGACACAGAAGCCTCTACCTCTTTTCCCCAAAAGATTTCTCTCTAAAAACATACTATATATTTTTATTTGGGTGGTTTGTTCATGCTATCATGAATGTAAATGCATCTGTAAACCATCCCTCTCTTGTTTTCAGTTTAATTTATTTATTCAAATGAACAATGGTGTTCTGTCTTTCATGGATGCTTATAAATGATGTCCATTAGTTGTTTTAGAATAAAATAAAAGGAAAAATCCAAGCTTGACAACTCAATTGTCCACGAACCTTTTCACAAGGAAAGGAAGTAGGGAGAGATTCTTTTAGCACATTAACAACTCCAGTGCATACTTGCTCAAATGACTCCAAGTCCCTTCAGGGTTCCGAAAATTCTGGTTTATCTTTTCCGTTTGGTGTAGTATTGCTTAGTCCTAATCACAATTTGAATTTTTGATACGAAGCAATGGTGTTTATGCCATATAAATGTTACGTTTTGCATTTTTACAGGATTATGTAAAGTGCAGATCATATAGAATCTCCATATAGGACACAGAATTTACTATTCTACTTTATAAAAACAGATGCGGGGACTAAGTGCATATGTAAGAATCATGAAGAATGTTTCTTTACATTTACATTAAAATAATATCTAAACAGTAGTGGAATTTTACAGTTTAAAGACAAGCTTCTTTCCAATTTCACTTTTTGGACATGGCATTTAAGTCTCTCGCAGCATCACAGCTATAGTGATTTGGATGAAGGATAAAGCAAATTTATCTCAAATCTAGTTCAGACCTTCCTATATGATAATCTATCATTCTGATTGACAATCTATGTCACAAATTAAACTTGGGAAGCTCTCCACACAGTTGACAGAAAACCCAATTTTCTTGATTTATTTGCAGTAGCAATGTTTATCTCAATCCAAAGGCAATGGAACATGAAGGAAACGGGATCTGCTTATTATGCCTAAACTAGATCTATGTCTCTATGATGTGACAAGGTTAGAAATTGTCTTAGGCAACATATTAAGCACAAAGAACAACAAAATGGTTTAGGCAGTATCTCAAAATTTCAAAACATATAGAATTCTAAATAATTCTTATTTCTGAATAACAAGAATTAGCCTATTACTTTGCTAGTTTAATTGGGCCCAAATACTAGAAAAATTTCCCAGACAATGCTTGAATGCTCTACCATCTGCTTTTTTAGCTGTAGATTTAATACTTAGTGACCTTTATAATGAATGCAGTTTCTCCCTGTGGGTTCTAGAACTACTGAAATGAATGAGCTTATTATCCATTGTTATTTTTAAGTTACATGAAATGACTTGGTTTTAGATTTTTACTGTCTCTTTTTGGACATGAAAATAATAGTTATGTCCAAACCCCACCCCCTCATTATTAGATAAGCAAGGTAATAAAGCAATAATAAAACCAACAAAAATATTGCAATCTTGCTGTCATCTACAAGTTGGCTATATATTCTGTATCCCTACTTCATACAGTTTAAGTATTGTATTGCTAGGATGGAACTGCTATAAAGTTACCAACTTGCTTATGTACTCAATTAAGATCAGTACCAGGGTTAATTTGCAGCCCCTTTGTAATCACAAAATTGAATAATACTATGAAACATGCTCTTGTCATATTATTATATACTGTACCATGTTCTTGCTATAATAGTCATAGAAACAATTTAAATCAATATATATATGCAATTACCTTTGGTTTTTTGTTCAGCAGCCTGAAAGACAAAAACAACAAAATGATCAGTTAGTAGCCAGTTTTTTTATTAAAGATAATTGTGGGGAAAAATGTAGCCCCAACAATAAGTCATAGCATACATAAAACATGATCACCCTATTAATATGGTCTGGCCAATTTTTGGTTTGATGTTTTGTGCAATTTTGCAGGAAGGAAGATCAGCAGTAGAACCCCGGAAGGTGGTTTATTTCAATGATAGTGTTTTAATTTTTATTTCATCTGTGGCTTCAATTGTATTTTTACTGTTAGTGGCTTTTGAACCATTGTAATACGTAGGAATGGTATTTCTCTGTTGGTTATGTAAATATGGAAGTGCTTTCAGGACCAATTTAGTGTCATGAGGACAAGCAAAATTTAATGTTGTTGACTCTTGACTCTCTAGCTTAGTGGTATATAAGCTTGAATTTTTCAGAAACCTTTGAGTGTAAACTTCACAAACCCAGGAATTAAGCAATTATAAAACATCAGGTTGCACACCTTTCCTCCACCACATATATTTTATTCATAATTTCATTAAAAAAGCATAGGCTCAAAACATTTTCGTTGCAAATAATGAAAGCAACATAGTAAACAAGGTATTTTATACTGGCTCTAGTTTATAGTGATCAAAGTAACTTTGTTTATATTCAAAATATTGAATATACAGTATGTATGCTAAAGTGACATATTATGAAATGCGACACTTCAATATATTTACATTGAACTCTTCAAATTAATTACACATGTATTTGAATAATTATACAAATTAAAAAGAATGTAGAATGTAGAATGATTTAATTCGTCTGGGTAATGAAATATGTACATTAGTGGGTATACACGTGTGCATATGTGTATACCTACATACAAAGTATAGTTTACAACAATTCTAGGGCAACACAGTAAGGATATAACTACTTAAGTATCTCATGAATCAGTGAATAAGTGATATTAAACATATTAATATTATAATGAGCATGATTCAGATAGTTTTAAATATATAAAGAACTTGAATCTATTCAGAGTTCTGGATTCCCTCTCTGCTGCTTTAAACATCTCAAAACCATTATTACTGTAAATAAAATGCAAAACAATATTCTGAGAGAAGTCTGTTGCCTTCTCTCTACCTGTCTTAAATTATTATATTTAAGGCTGTTTTAGATATTTGATTTTATCATGCGTTCTGAGGTAGTATCTGTTGTTCAATTAACCAACCTCCACTGTGCTGTTCCCCCATTGGGGCCACAAGCCACCTCGCACAGCTAGGCTTTAAGGCCCTTAGAAAGGATGAGATGGTTGGGGCAACCTCACATCGGGGGGGGGGGGGACAACAAGTTGTTCCAGTGGGCAATGGCAATAGCAGAGATCCTAGATCCTAGACCCGTGATGGCAAACCTATGGCACCTGTGCCAGAGGTGGCACGCAGAGCCCACTCTCTGGGCACACGAGCCATCATCCCAGCTCAGCCCTGCCGTGCATGTGCGTGTGCACTGGCCAGCTGGCCTTCGGGTCTCTGCCGTGCATGCACAGGGGTGGGGCACGCACCCGCGGAGGGTGAGGCACAAGCATGGGGAGCGCACATGCATACGTGAGGGGTGGGGTTCGCACACATGGGGTTACGGAGGGTCACATGCTTGGGGCACACACGCGAATTGCATTTTGGGGGTGCGCACGCGCTTTGGGCACTTGTGCTGAAAAGGTTAGCCACCACTGTCCTAGACCTTCATTCTAGACCTTACCAGCTGGAATAATCGAGCTGACAGCATGCTTTTTCTGCTGACACGAGTGGGATGGGTCAATCCCAGTGGGGTGAAACGGCCCCATCCCTCAAAATGTTGGAAGCAGAGGTGGTATTCAGCAGGTTCTGACCAGTTCTGGAGAACCAGTGGTGGAAATTTTGAGTAGTTCGGAGATCCAGCAAATACCACCTCTGACTGGAAATTTTACAGTATCCTTCCCCTGCCATGACCACCAAGCCACGCCCACAGAACCAGTAGTAAAAAAATTTGAATCCCACCACTGGTTGGAAGGGTCTTGGCAAAATCTTTGCAGCATATTAATAAAGCTTGGAATAAAGCTTGTTATTATAAAGAGCAATATTTTAAAAAGAGTTAGTAATTATTAATCCTCACTTTTAATGAAAAATAGTCACTGTACAATTTTAAGCTATTGCCATGGTCCCCTCAGACAAATCTTCCTTAGAACGTGGAGAGAGGGAGAATGAAAGAGAATGAATATGAACTGGAAAAAATGCCTCTCAAATTGATCAAGTAGTGTTAATGCCCAGCTCTGAGATTCTGATGGACTCATTCCCAAGTGCTCCTGACACACAGACTTCAAGCTTGCAAGAATGTCAATTCAATTCAATTCAATCCTAAATAGCAAATAAAGGGAGGAGTGCAGGAGTGCTTGGTAAAATACATTGGGAATAATGGTCTACTTGGCAGTTAAGACCTACTCAGTAATAGTTATCAGTTTTAAGTAGCTGATTTCTTCAACTAGCTTTAATCAGAAAACTTGAATGTGAATCAAGTTCAAGTTTTTCTACTATTTAAGCTTTTTCTGAGACCAGTCAAATATCAAAATAATATTTATAACAGTTTAATTTTCAGACTTGGCTTGAAGTCTTGTACAACTTTCTGAAAAGCCTAATCTCTTACTTGATCTGACAGTTTTACCATTAATGCTACATTTTGTTGCCTGAATTCTGCACTAGACAGGAACCACGCTATTGTCTGTAGTAAGTATTATTTGACTCTTGGTTGCATGACTCCACTTCTTATTCCTATTGTGTGAACTTGGAAATGGGACTGACATTTTTAAAAATCTTAAAGATATACCAGACATTTTACAGAAAATTATTTTTTCTGGCCCTCAGATCAGAGTACAATAGTGCCTTTATCTAAACACTACAGAAACTGAAAATTATAAAAGCTGAACTTCTAAGTTAGGAGAGAATATAATCTGTGTTCAGTATATTGTGCTGAAAAATGTACCTGGAAAATAATATTTGTTAATAAATAAAATCTACTAGTTACAGAATTTTATGAAATACTAGAAGACACATAATCTCTAAGTGTTCAGACTTGTTATGTTGCTGAAATACACTGCTCAAAAAAATGAAGGGAACACAAAAATACGACATCCTAGATCTGAATGAATGAAATATTCTTATTAAATACTTTGTTCATTACATAGTTGAATGTGCTGACAACAAAATCACATAAAAATTATCAATGGAAATCAAATTTAGCAACCCATGGAGGTCTGGATTTGGAGTTACACTCAAAATTAAAGTGGAAAAAAAACACTACAGGCTGATCCAACTTTGATGTAATGTCCTTAAAACAAGTCAAAATGAGGCTCAGTAGTGTGTGTGGCCTCCACATGCCTATATGACCTCCCTACAACGCCTGGGCATGCTCCTAATGAGGTGGCAGATGGTCTCCTGAGGGATCTCCTCCCACACCTGGACTAAAGCATCCCCCAACTCCTGGACAGTCTGTGGTGCAACGTGGCGTTGGTGGATGGAGCGAGACATGATGTCCCAGATGTGCTCAATTGGATTCAGGTCTGGGGAATGGGCGGGCCAGTCCGTAGCATCAATGCTTTTGTCTTGCAGGAACTGCTGACACACTCCAGCCACATGAGGTCTAGCATTGTCTTGCATTAGGAGGAACCCAGGGCCAACCGCACCAGCATATGGTCTCACAAGGGGTCTGAAGATCTCATCTCAGTACCTAATGGCAGGCAGGCTACCTCTGGCGAGCACATGGAGGGCTGTGCGGCCCCCTAAAGAAATGCCACCCCACACCATTACTGACCCACTGACAAACTGGTCATGCTGGAGGATGTTGTAGGCAGCAGAACGTTCTCCAGGGCGTCTCCAGACCCTGTCATGTCTGTCACATGTCCTCAGTGTGAACCTGCTTTCATCTGTGAAGAGCACAGGGCGCCAGTGGCAAATTTGCCAATCTTGATGTTCTATGGCAAATGCCAAACGTCCTGCATGGTGTTGGGCTGTAAGCACAACCCCCACCTGTGGACGTCGGGCCCTCATACCACCCTCATGGAGTCTGTTTCTGACCGTTTGAGCAGCCACATGCACATTTGTGGCCCGCTGGAGGTCATTTTGCAGGGCTCTGGCAGGGCTCCTCCTGTCCCTCTTTGCACAAAGGCGGAGGTAGAGGTCCAGATGCTGGGTTGTTGCCCTCCTACGGCCTCCTCCACGTCTCCTGATACTGGCCTGTCTCCTGATAGCGCCTCCATGCTCTGGACACTACGCTGACAGACAGCAAACCTTCTTGCCACAGCTCACATTGATGTGCCATCCTGGATGAGCTGCACTACCTGAGCCACTTGTGTGGGTTGTAGACTCCATCTCATGCTACCACTAGAGTGAAAGCACCGCCAGCATTCAAACGTGACCAAACCATCAGCCAGAAAGCATAGGAACTGAGAAGTGGTCTGTGGTCACCACCTGCAGAACCACTCCTTTATTGGGGATGTCTTGCTAACTGCCTACGCTTTCCACCTCTTGTCTATTTCATTTGCACAACAGCATGTGAAATTGATTGTCAATCAATGTTGCTGTCTAAGTGGACAGTTTGATTTCACAGAAGTGTGATTGACTTGGAGTTACATTGTGTTGTTTAAGTGTTCCCTTTATTTTTTTGAGCAGTGTATATAATTCATCTGGGAATTGCTTCAGATGGTAATGTTTAGCTACTGTTCATATACTACTTAAAAACTGCTTTAAAAAAATATTTGATCAGATCAGGAGGAAATCTGCTTGTAGTAGAATATAGTAGTTTGAAAAAGTGAAAATAAGAACAAACTTAATGCATAATGTTTGGGCCTTTTTACAAATGATGAAACCTAATTAGACTATATTTCTCAACAAAAGATTTTTTTTTCCAACTCATACTAATGAAATTGGCTAAGAGTTAAATTATACAACTGAGATCTTTAACAAACCTTTTTCTGAGCACCTTCCTTCTTTTTCTTTTCTTCCTGCTTTTTCTTTTTCTTTTCTTCCATCAAATGTTCCTCTTCTTGTGTTTGTTCTTTTTCCCTATTTATAAAAAAGAATTGAACTTCTTTTAGACAATTATATAAATCAGGGAAGTCTGAATTACAGTAGACACTAAAATTATCTGCCACCATATATTTAAATTACTTCCATCACAGAATTTAAATCAACATCAATTTAAATAAACAATCATATGTGAGATACATCTTACATATTACACTGTTGCCATTTATTTTACTTGTAGTTACTAACTGAACACTAACAAAACATTATAAAACCAGGTCTAATTACCCAGTGAGTTTAAAAAACAAAGATATAAACCAGAATTGCTTCTGTGGCTCTCAAAATTAATGTAGCTCTAAATGTACCTCCAATGTATCTCTGAAACAATTAGAAGAAATCAAAAGGGCTATGAGGAAATCACTGGTTCTAAGGACTTCCAAAACACTGACTCTATGTCAGGGGTGTCAAACTCAAGGCCCGGGGGCCAGATCTGGCCCACGGGGTGATTAGATCTGGCCCACAGGGCCACCCTGGAAACGGCGAAAGACTGGCCTGCGGTGCCTCTGCCAGCAAAAACAGAACTCGGGTGGGCTGCACACAGCCCTCTTGAGCTCTGTTTTCATTGGCAGAGGGTTACTTACAGGAGGCCGTTGCAGCCAAAAGTGGAGCTCAGGAGCCTGTTTTCTCTGGCAGAGGGCTCGGGCCACCACAGGCACCCCTGACATGAGTGATGTCGAGCTGACCACACCCACTCTGGCCACGCCGAGGTAAAATACAATCCTGATGCGGCCTTCAATGAAATCGAGTTTGACACCCCTGCTCTATGTCTAACTCCACTTTCAAACATTGTATTTAACTCAGGGGTGGTTCAGAATGGTTCTATAGAACCGGTTATGATTTTCCAGTTTGGAGAACTGGAAAATCGTGGCCCTGGCTGGCTCCACCCCTCTCCGCCTGCCCCTCCCCACCCAGTCAGTCCTTATCCGCATGCACGACATTGCACGCCTGCCCAACGTTGCTGACTGCATTCTTCCCTGCTCAGTCACTCCTTAAGGTATTTCTTTTTCCCCCCCTCCTGACGATCACTGTTCCTATGATCAGCTGTGCCAGGATTCCCCTCGCTTACTTACTTCTTCGCTTAGGAGGCTTCCCTAAGGCCCAGAAAGGCAAAAAATGGAGGGTAAAAAAATTTTTTACACTTTTTTTGCCAATGCATACCAATTGCACATTCTGTAGTTTTATTATTTATTTATTTAGTATATGGCTACAGTTTTCTTAGACCTTGTCTACAAAACAAAACAAAATTGTTTAACAATTTTTTCTTCCTATTTACTAAAAGCTTCCTTTGCACAAAACATCTACTTAAATCTCCTCACTAAAAAATAAATCAATTTGATCATCAAATTATATAAAAAATTTTTTTTAAAGGAACAATTACTCCAAAATTCCTAAACTGCATCCAATAGTATAATTTAATTTGGACAGAATTAGAGGATATATGTTCTGCTTTACTGTTTGGGTCCGATTCTTGTGCTGCATATACCATAAAAGCCTAAGTTAAAAAGATATGAAACAATTATAAATTGAGATGGGACAAAAGAAATCTTGTCAAAAATCATAGTTGATTCCAATGTGCCAGAAATGTAAATCTTACAGGAAGTATAAATAAAATAAAAATCAGAATGTCTATTGTAATTAGAAAATGCTAATTTCAAAAGTACAAAATAAAAAGTGGCTGTAGAAAGGATGTGGATTGGAAAACAATTTTAAGAACTAGCAACAATCCATGCTTTATTGTAAACTCTATCCAACACAGTACTATCATTCCTTTGATAGACCATCATCTGCCAGAGGATTGGATTCTTTGTTCCCCTCCTGCCAGGCACTTCCCAAACCTTCTTTGTAAGTTATCTTTAAGCAAAGTCCATTGCACAGTCAATTTCCATAATGAAGCATCGAGTCTGTTATTTTAATAACCATTTTAACCATTTTTATTCTGCATTATAACTTACATATGTGTTTGAAAATAAGCAAGATCTTATTAAAAAAAACACCAAGTTATAAACTAACATTGACAGAAAGATATTTCCTAACAGCCATGATCCCCCCAGTCTGTATTATACTACACCAAAACAGATTTCAGAGAAATCTTAGGGATCTTATAGGAAATACCGGTAAATGAATTTGCATTTTCAGATTGGTTTCAAAAATGATACATACTGACAAATTAATTCATAATTTATATTTAGTTAATTTAAATAATGTAATTTTGATTTAATAATTGTATTTGGATTAAGCTAAATCTTAAAAGTATGCAGAATTTTTTAAAAAATCTGCATAGCATATTGCTAAGCTGCTTTTCAATAGGCACAGTTACAGCTCATTTCTCAACTTTTTCCTGGCTGATCACAACAAAACTCTATGTCTCATGGGCATTGTGCTAGAGTTTGTACATTGGCAAAATTGAGAAAATAGGCAGTCTATCATTCTTCTGCCAGTTTTACTCAGTGTCAAATATCCCGGGCACAAAATCCTGACCTGTTGTGATAGCAGATGAAACTTTTGACCCTGTACCACAGCTCTGAGCAACCAAAATCAATAAACTGTGAATTATGCTGTTATACTGACAGCAGCCGTGATATTAACTATAAATAGGGATTTAAAAAATGTTCAAAACTCCATTATCTTTTTATTCAATTACAGCTTGATTTTTCAAAGGGGAACACGAACATAATACAAGGAAATATAATATGAAATACATTTCTTGTTGCATAACTTAAGAATTTTAGGTGCACTTAGTTTTATTTATAAGGAGGTGTATAAAATGCAATTTTTTAAAGTATTAATACACTTGGAACTCAGAGTTTGGAAGTAAATGGTAAACTCCCTTTAACCTCAAGTGACAGTTTATCAATACATATATATTATTTATAGGTTATCCAAAACTTTCTAGAGCTAAGGTTTTGGAAAGAGTTTAGCCAGTCGTCTCTCTCTCTATTACAACTTCAAATGGTCGCTGAACAAGTGGTCTGAAAGCAAGCACTATCTGTAAAATGCTACTATATATGGCATAAATGGGTCCAAAAAAAATATATCAGGATAAGTGACATCTGACTTAAGTTGGAAAGCACAGACTCAAAAGATTTGGATGTGACATGGTAAATATCAATTATAGGTGCTAATCAACTAGAATATATTGTTGAATATCTAAATATAATAGATATGTAGAAATACAGCACAGAATGCTAAATATAGGGGAAGTTTTTTTTACTTAAAAGATAAAAATTTGCTCTTTACAAGAAATAAAGGATGCTAACATACATTCTAAGTAGACACAAGAGCTTGTAATTTTTTCTATTTTTTTCTACAAATGTAACAAAACATTCCCTTGTGTGTGTGTATGTGTGTATGGGGGGGGGGGAGGAATAACCATATCATGACATGGAAAGAAATATGACCCAAGTGCTCTTTGTAGCACTGCATAACTTGAGTTATTTATTGGTTTAATATCCCACTATTACCTGTAAAGTCAAGAAAGCATACACAATACTCCCTCCTCAGTTTTCCCCACAACAACTATCCTTAGATGGTTGGTTGAGGAATATGATTATTCCAAGAACATTGGGAGATCAAGAAAAGTTAGTTTTTAAAGGGACAGGCTAAGGCAGGCAGCCTCTATAAGCCATAATAATGTTCACTCAAGTGAACAGAACTTTTTCTCTGATATAATTCTCCTGTATAGGGCAATTGGTGGGAAGAGCACCATGGAAAAGCACCAAGCAAAATGCAATCTACTTTCCTCTGCTGCAGAAAATATGTCACCTGTCTTAAATGACCTGGTAGCATGGTCTCTCCTGAAGCCTTCCTGTTCTTAATTTTTGACAGTTTTTGCTAAGTTTCAGTCTCTTGCAAAAGTGATTGAGGAAGAAATTACCATATCAAACCCTGCAATTACATAAGCAACTGAGGGAGAAGGAAGGAGGCAAAAACTTTATGCCTTTGAAGTTTAAGAAACTTTTCCACAGAGGTTTGATGAATATATGTAGAATGTTTTCTTACATTATGCTTACCCTTACATAGATGCACATGCACTTACAAAATAGGATTGGGGATTTTTTTGCCAGTCAAGTTAATTTTTATGCATTATTATCCATTAATAATAACAATTTCAAAAGTGCAAGAAAAGATGTAGAAGAAGAAACAAGGAGTCTTTCTGATAATATCTAGCAGGCATCACTTAGAGTTTCAGAATATTACTCCAAATCAGAACTTTGTATATACTGGCCATCTCCTTTATTCCTCAAAGTTCCATATGCATTGCTTGGGGAAAAAAACAGGATTAAAAAAAAGCATTGCCTTTCTTAGCTAGAAAAAGAGATTATTCTCTATATTTTCAATAGGGAAACTTTAGATCAAACATGGATCTGAAGAATACTGAATTATACATGGCACTCTGCACGGTGAGGTCATTTTGGCTTTTGTTTCCATTGCAGGAGGACCATTTGTGTCCTCTATTGACATAACAAATACTTATTTTCATACATCTATGTCACAATGCATGTAGTTCTCATTTAACAACACACAGTTGGGAATGGCAACTCCATTGTTAAGTGACATGGTCATTAAGTGAGACACCACATGATTGCGACTCACAATGTAACTTTCCCTGCACTCATAAGTTAATCACCATAGTTGTTAAACGAGACATCACGTAACTGCAATATTCTGGGTTAATGGCTAAATATAAAGAAACGGTGCTATCACTAGCGATACAATTTTTTGAAGCAGAATTGTTTCTATGATGGGACATGTTAATTTGCTATTTTGCCAGATGGGGAGGCTTCAGCATGGAAGACTATGGAAAACAAATCTCTCTATTTGCCATGTGAGAGATTGAGGAAAAAATGTGATTTAGCTAATAAAATTTAGCTAATGGCTAAATTTTCAGGAATTTGGCAAGCCAGTTCATAGCAGATTTGAGTTACAGCACCCAGAAGATCAGCTACTCTGTAGCTAGCAGTATACCATTGGACTGGACC